ATATTTAGAGAACATTAAGAAACAACATTTTCTTAATGGAAATGTTAGCAAACATTTCTTAGAAGATATTTTTGTTAGCTGATGTTCCTTACCAACATGCAGCGTAGCTACACCTTGTTACACAGGAATGAAACACTGAGAAACAGAGAGATTTGATTGTAAACAGTCAGCCAGCTGTGTTCTCCGATAGTTTTGTATCAAATCAACGGTTTTGGCTTTGAGTAACTTCAAACTAGGCTAATTCATAGTTCATACAACAACCTGAAACACATTACAATGTATAGGCCTAGGCTACTGCATAATATGTTAAGCAGTGCACTAGTGTTTCCTTTTAGACTCTCTTCTCTCTGTCCATAATGGACACACCTTTAACGAATCACATCTGCTCACAAGGGTGCTCACTAACAGGCTTGTGAATGAAGCTATAACTTAAGTGAATAGCTCTCTCTGCTGGTTCTACATAGGTGTGACATTTTTTTTCCCCAAATGAAAATGCGCCTATTTGATCGATTATCTGTTGGAATAAGGATATCACGACGAATATTATTGTTTTTAATACTTATTGATTTTTTAACCCTTTATTAAGCCTCTTTAAATAACACACAGGTATTATCACCTACAATAAATCCAAAAGAATATATATATATATATACACTATAAATAATTTAGACAGCATGTCACAAAACTTGGAACAACTTTAACAAATTTACATATGTGTAAATAAATCAAGCCCCCTATTATTATATTAATAATACAGGTGCGGTGCCTTTAAAAAAATATTATTTTATCATGTCCCGAGGTAGCTTTTTTACAAATAGTGCGATACAAACCCTCAGTGTGTGGCCCAAAACAACTGCCTACAGTTGATAATAAAATTTAATAATTAAAACAGCATTTTAATGGTTGCACTGAATTGAAATATTTTAATTTTTCAATTTTAACAGTAATATTTTTAGTCAGGACAATTAGCGGCTACCTACGTCTCCATCGTCAGGACCCAAAATGGTGGCGGCGTGAGTAGAAACCACAACCTGAAGGTGAGTGAGTGAGTAATTCTAGAAATAGTTATAACAAGCATGTGCACATTTAACATTTGATCACCTAACAGATATTTCATTTGTCAACCCGCCTATTTGCTTCTAAACCTGTCAAAATGATAAACGACAGCGTTATACAATATCACTGCGTTTAAAATGAATGAGAGTATTAATTCACATGTAGAAGAGAGACCGGGGCAAGTTGGCACACTTTTTTTAATCGCAGTGTCAGCTGCCTACATCAATCTCTTCCTCTTGTTCCACTGGCCTGGCATTAGTTTATTCGTGTTTTTCATGTCTTCTAGTTTTGATAGACATGAGTAAGCTCCGGAGCTTTTGGCATAACTATAAAGTGCTGATTGTTATGGGCTCTGGCCTTGGGATGGTTCACTGGGGTTGGTACTCGATCAAATCCAATCCACTACTGAAGAAGAGCAGGGAGGAATATATTCCCGAACCGGGCATCGTGTCGTACGTCGCTCCGTCCCCACCGCCTCTGCCTCCTCTGCCCGAGAAGAGCAAGAAGAGAGCGGCCAAAGACAAGGAGTAACTGCTGCTGCTGCTCAGCAAGGTGGGAAGCGCTCAGTGTCATCTGTTAAAGGGACAGGTCCTCCAAAAATGAAAACTCTGTCATAATTTACTCACCCTGAGGAACGTGGTCACTAGTGCTGGGCGGTATGACCAAAAATTTATATCACGGTATTTTTCAAAATTATACCGGTTTTAACGGTATATGACGGTATTTTTTTTTTATGCATGACCGGGTGTTAATCATATTTTCTACTGATTGAGAGAGGAAATACTGCAGTATATTGACTTAGAATGCCCTATTTTACTGTCATGATGAGTGAATATTGTCAAAAAATACCACACTATATAGTGACTAAACACGACCCCTTTGAATACAAGTTAACCAGGAGTCACTCTCATTTATAATCACAACATCGTCTGATAAAATCAACATGCATCTACACTAAAGAGTGGCTATGCGGTTGTTTTGGCTATATTACTTTTTTGTCTCATGCAGCGCACTGCCTGCATCTGAGTAACAAACTAAAAAAAACAACAAACAAAAAAGTGCATGTGATATTAACAGACGAACTACGCTCATATTTATAATTCCAAACAATCAGTAAGCGACAGGTGCTTGGAAACGCTGTTTTGTACTCATTTATTGAGGAGTCGGCTGCGGAGCGTCGCTGCCGCTCACTGCACAGAACAGACGCCAAGAGGGGCGACACTTCTCCGGGAAAGTCAGACCTCGCGTTCGCGGGACAGCACTGGCGAAATCGTCCAACTGAACCATAGCAAAGGTTTATCCAAAAAAAGTCGCTAGGTTTGTCAGTATTAATATTCTATGGAAAAAAGCCGCTAAAAGGGTCTGAAAGTTGCTAAATCTAGTGCTAAAGTCACGCTCGTGTGTGTGTGTGTGAGACGCGGGAGCTGATGGCGGGGGGCGGTGGCTATTTGTGGGGGTGAGTGTGGATATTGTGGATGAGTTCTTCTGTGTCATCACGTTCTATTAGTTCTACAGCTTCAGTTTCGGAACGTTCACGCTTAGTAACACATACAGCTGTTCCCTCACCACAGTGCAACAGTGAAAAGGGACTTCTTTCAAACAGTGTCGCGTTCCGAACGTTGTTTAAGCGACATACACCGGTATTGCCGTATTTTAAAAATTCATATCATAACAAAAATAAACACCGGTATTCGGTATGAACCAGTATACCGCCCAGCACTAGTGGTCACTTCAACCTTGAGCTCTGAGCTGTCATTGTGATGCTAGAAGATTCTTCAAAGTGTTTGTTTTCCATGAGAATAAAGTCACACTGGTTTGGAATGAAATGAGTGAGTAAATGATGACATTCATTTGAACTGCCACTTAGATAAGTGTGTGTGATCTGTCCTTGAGCTCTGTTATCAGTCACTCGGGTCACAATTTCTCATTGTTTACACAAGAATATGAATGAACACATGCTGTTCTTTCCTCTGTTGAAAGTGTGTGCATTTAATCTTATCTGTAAAGATTACAGGAACGTTTCTTGATAACGTCAGATTTGGTCAAAGTGTAGAGAGTGCGATTTTTATGATATCAGTTCTCTATTTCGACAGGGGGAAATTGCCTTAACTTGTCCAAAATTTGAATGAGTTATATTTGTTTTCATTTAAAGTTTTCACAATTTTGTTGTTTTTATTCATTTTTATTTCATTTTTAGTTATTCTAGTAGAAGAAAAAGAAAAAAAATTGCGTTTGCAACTAGCCGATGTAAAATGTCATTTTTTTCATGTTTTATTTCAGTTAGCATTTATTTGATTTCAAATGACAGAAATGTAGTTTAACTACGATAATCCTGAATCCAAAGCACTTTAAATTCACTTCAGAACTGAACCGTGACAATTTCTCTTTTATACATGGCTGCTAATGTTTTTACAGGTGTCACCACAAAAAAAAAACATTTATTTTTAGGTTATTTATTATGTTTAATATATATAAAACATACATATGCAAATATGTATATATAATGATATTTTCAAATATATTTTATATATGTAAATGTTAAATATCATTTATAATAAATTGTTTAAAATGTATTTATGCATTAAATGCATTTATTATGCATTAAATATATAAATAATATATTAATGAGTTAAATATATGAGTGTCACAGCAAAGGGTCTGAATACTTAGGACCATGTGATATTTCAGTTTTTCTTTTTTAATAAATCTGCAAAAATGTCTACAATTCTGTGTTTTTCTGTCAATATGGGGTGCTGTGTGTACATTAATGAGGAAAAAAATTAACTTAAATTATTTTAGCAAATGGCTGCAATATAACTTTTTAACTTTTAAAATTTAAGGGGGTCTGAATACTTTCCGTATCCACTGTATATATTTATTATTGATATAATTTAATTACTCTTCATTGTAATTTTAATATTTTTTAAGTTATAATTACAAAGAATATTGTGTCATATCTTTCACTCAGCAAATAATTTAAAAACGGGTATCATTTATGTGAAATGCTCTGTTACCTAAACGAAAGAAAAACATTTGTTACCTTAATTTGCAAATATAGTGGGTTTTACTTTTATCAAGCTATAATAATAATAAAAATATTCTGACAAATCCTAGTTTGTACAGTTGTTTAACTCCAGCCCTCTATAAGTAGTATCATTCAACAAAAAAATGACAAAGTTCCCAGAAGTCATTCATTTTCATTAACACAACAGCAGCTGTTGGTGAAGTTGAGCTGAGTTCAACTTTATGCAAATAACTAAAGATCACAACACTTTGATCAGCTGCTGATGTGTCAGTTGATTAGCCCTTTCTTTCCTAATGTTCTCATTTGCATTTTGCAGGTCCTCCTCTTCTGAAGACGTTAGTGTACAGCGAGGACAGAGAAGATGAGGAACCAGAGCTGGCTGAGGAAGAACTGGTTTTGGGTTGCTGGTGGTGCATTTGCTGCTATTCATTTTGGCACGTGGCTCCTGCAGAAAGCGATGAAGAGTTCGGTGCAGACTGAACGGCAGCTCAAACGCAGGGATGAGTAAAAGCAAATAATTTATGCATTTGAGGGATTATGGGGGTTGTGTGTGGTTTATTACAGTTAATCTAAGTGCTTTGTTGTCTGTCTAGTGACAAATTAAAAATACACACTTTGCTTCTGATGCACACATATGAGACAATGTCATCTGTGGATATCATTTGAAAGTAATATTTTTTTTTAATTCTGAAAGTGGATGTGTTGCTAAGAAATTCTGAGTGGATGAAGCATTTAATGAGGCCAAAACATACAGAACCACTTGAGTTCGCTGGACTTTGAACAGCAGCGTTGCATGTTTTGTGTTTCATGTTTCTTAAGCACCTGTGACACTCGACCAGTTATGGTCCTTTGATGAAGTCTTTTATGATAAGACTGTGCAAATGGGAATATGTTTATAAATGACCATTCTCCGCTATGCACAGATGTAAACATAGGTTTTTAATGGTGTATTTAAAAAAATAAATACAATATTTCAGAAATGTTCCCTTTGGGTGTGAGTAGGACTTGCAGTAGCAACATCAGCACGTGCAGAATCTTAATTCGTGCTGTGTTTAAACTTGTTTTCGTGAGCTGGAAATAGTTTTTCTGCTTGTAAATTTCTGACTTTGCTATAGCAGGAAAGGGATCACAGCCTTTCTTGATTTAGGGTAATCTTTAAATTTCTCCAAGTAATACCTGTGAAGAAAACAAAGCATTTACTTCCAGGTTTGCAAAAGGCTTCATAAAAACATAAACCCTTTATTATAATCCAGAACATAACTTTGTGTACCAGATGCTGGATTCCTTACTTGAAATGAAATAAAATAGCAAGCACCATTAAAAGCTAATGCTGGTGTGCCCTATTGAGCAAAAACATTTCAATTCAACTTTTTATCAGTATTTTTTGGTTTCAAATCAGTTATGTTTATATTTAAAAATACAGTAATCTAAAGCAGGTATCTTTAGAAGGCTGCATTTTGGAACAGCCTTCACATCTGAGTGTGAAAGTGTAGGGCCCTCACTAGATTTCGGAGCAAAGTTTGTGTCAGGACAGCACCTGTGATGGTGGTAGGCTCGAGGCCCAATGGAGCAGATAGTGAATAGAGCAAAGGAGAAAGCAGGAAAGGACCAGCAGGCCACAGCGTATCCACACCATTCAACGATCTCCCCAAAGAAGTTAGCACCAGAGACCAGCTCAAACATTCCTCCTGAAGAGAACACAATGCGAATATTTAGTGCAGAACTGAATTCAGGAATAAGGAGGTTCAGTCTCACTCAGATCAATCTTTTTAAGAATATGCCTGGGTCGTATTACAACTCCAAAATCAAAATAATATTTTGAGACCCATGAAGAAATTTTTTTTTAAATTACTTTTTAAAAATTTAAATATGATTAATGTTTATATTAATTTCATACAATTATTAAAATGATGTATTTAAATTAGTATGTAATGTATATGTGTGTATAGATACACACAGTATAGTAAATATATACATTTCAAATTTATTAAAATATATTATAAATGTATCATATATTACATAAATATTATTAAATTATAAAATGTTATTATTAATTTCTTACTTTCCCCCATATAATTAGCTGACCGAATATATATATATATATATGTGTGTGTGTGTGTGTGTATGAGACCATAAAGAAAAACAACTTTTATTAAAGTTTTAAAAATTATTAGTATTTATATTAATTTATTATAATAATTATTAAAATTATATACATATAAATTACTATTTATTATGCTATATCAAATATGTGGTCATATATCTATAACATTATATAATAATAAGTTATAATTATATTGATTTATTTTCTTACTTTTCCCCCACATAATTATCCATGAATCCATTTGACTGAAGAATATAACAACATAATTAATCTCATCATAATCAAAAACTGACCTCTAGGGATTTTATAGCTGACCTCTCCTGGTTTCCTCAGGTTTCGTAAAATATAGTCGCTGTGGATGTTGATGGCCATTCCAGTGAAGAACATCAACAAACCTGGAAGAAACATTCATTGAGTGTTTTTACACTGACATTCATTGATTCAAATGAATATAGTTCATCAAAAAGATCTCATTGTCTGTTAGCAGCATGTACAGTACCAGTAATGAAGCGTGTGTCTCTGTGCCATCCGCTGTGGTACTGAGTGCAGTGGAGCATGTGGTGACCCTGCAGAAAACCGTTCACAGAGCAGAAGACCACCGCACTCACCACAATGTGCAGAGGAGACGGCCGGCCTTTAGTCAGCAAGGAGAATACAAAAGTCCTGCAGGAACACCAAAGAGTGTGAGGAAACCGAGAAATCAGATATGTTTTCTGCTTTATATTATCGTCTTGTTTAATGGGATTTTTCTCGGCTGAACTTGTCTCCTTTCCCTTTTGTCATTGTGCCATGGGAGAACAATAAAGGCAATTTACTCAAAGAGGCTTCTTGTTTTCTGTGTTGTATCAGGAGCCAGAATAAAAGATCCAGATAAGCGAATGCCTTCTTCCCCCAGTTTGATAGTCCAATGCAACATAGGATCTACACAACACATAGGTTTTTACTGTATTCTAACTGGTGTCTCAAACCACACTAGTATTTACTCAGCTTGCAGAAAAGCTTAACTTTTCATGTGGCTTTTTTATTATTACCACCTCTGTTTTGAGTGGTTGTCAGTGTATGTTAAAGGTATGCCTAAAAGATTGTAGTACTTCAGCAGGTTGGTATATTAACATTATATTAATGAAACATTATATATTAATGAAATATGCATTTTTGTTTGACTGTTTACTGTACATTTAAGCTTAGTCGGTAAAACCAAATATGTAACGTTCTGGCAACCACAGCTGCTGTTTTTCGTGTCTGTGGCAGGATGTTTATTTCAAGTAAATGTAGTGCGTAGTGAAATGACTATTCTCTCTTATGCTGTTTCAGCAGAGACTTACAGGATATGTTTGCAGAAAACGGTATGTTCTGATTTGTAGAGATTTGATTTGATAAGCGTGGTGTAACAAGATTATGTAAAGATTTTTTTTTTCATCAGAAATGTGGCTAAAAATAGAACTGAAAATTAAGCAACCTGACAATTAGGCAAGTCAGTTGCAAGTCACTCTTCAGCCATCTTGGTAATTCCCCGGGCCGCTGTTTTCTGTGTTTAAGCATGCAAGCACAGTCCTGTCTAACTGAAGTGGGCAAACTTAAATAGTGTTATTTACATAATGGCATTTAAAAAAATTAAATGACAGCAAGGAATACAGGAAATATTGCTTCTTTAGCTCAAATCAGCATGTAAACTGTATTTTTCAGACTAGCCAAGCTAATGAGGATGCATTTCAAATGAAAAATGAGATTAGAGAAAGAGGTACAAGGTTACCATGGTGCAATTCACCCTTCGCTGGGAGTTTGATTGACAGGCGAACTGACCAATCATACACTCTAAAAAAATGCTGGGTTAAATATAACTCAGTGCTGGGTTAAAAAGGGACAAACCCAGCTATTGGGTTGTTTTGACCCAGCGGCTGGGTCAAAACACCCCAATAGCTGGGTTTGTCCCTTTTTAACCCAGCGCTGGGTTATATTTAACCCAGCATTTTTTAGGGTGTAGCGTCGAATTTGTCATTTTGTCAACCAGACAGGAGAACAGATTAACGTCGGTGGACCTGAACTCTGACTTCATATCCTCCCTTACGTGTGTTGTTACAAATGATTTTTCCTTCCTGTTCATTCTACTGGACTGAGTTGCACCATAACTGAAAAAGAAGCTCTGCCTGTACTCAGTTATCTAGAAACCTGGCTAACGACATTACCAGCTCAAGTTTGAGAATTTGTACTTTAGACATCCAAAGTACATTTGTGCAGGTCATCATGTCTTTATGCCACTTTGTCAAATTATAAAGACGGAGGCAGTATATTTCAAATATAGTCGCAGCTGGAGATGGACAGTCCTAACTCAAGTGTGAAAGCAGATGGCAATCACTACACAAACAGCTATTTTCAAATACCTAACTGTTATAAAAATCAGCTTAACAGTTTTAGGTGACAGGTGTCAGCCTGCCAAAAGAAAAGGGTTAATTTTTCACGTATAGGCTAATATATATTATATTTTGACTATAGACTTTGACTCCAGCTATTGGGTTGTTTTGACCCAGCGGCTGGGTCAAAACAACCCAATAGCTGGGTTTGTCCCTTTTTAACCCAGCGCTGGGTTATATTTAACCCAGCATTTTTTAGGGTGTAGCGTCGAATTTGTCATTTTGTCAACCAGACAGGAGAACAGATTAACGTCGGTGGACCTGAACTCTGACTTCATATCCTCCCTTACGTGTGTTGTTACAAATGATTTTTCCTTCCTGTTCATTCTACTGGACTGAGTTGCACCATAACTGAAAAAGAAGCTCTGCCTGTACTCAGTTATCTAGAAACCTGGCTAACGACATTACCAGCTCAAGTTTGAGAATTTGTACTTTAGACATCCAAAGTACATTTGTGCAGGTCATCATGTCTTTATGCCACTTTGTCAAATTATAAAGACGGAGGCAGTATATTTCAAATATAGTCGCAGCTGGAGATGGACAGTCCTAACTCAAGTGTGAAAGCAGATGGCAATCACTACACAAACAGCTATTTTCAAATACCTAACTGTTATAAAAAATCAGCTTAACAGTTTTAGGTGACAGGTGTCAGCCTGGCAAAAGAAAAGGGTTAATTTTTCATAATTTTAAGGGGGTCTGAATACTTTCCGTACCCACTGTATATAGCCTAAATAATAAATATGCACGGTAGGCCTACACACACACATATGTAAACAAAAACTTATTAAGATTAATAGTTTGACAGCATTGCTTTAAAGACCGTTTCCACCACTGAATAAAAAATAAAAAAGGTAATTGCGACTTTTTATCTCACAATTCTGACTTTTTTTCTCATAATTGTGTGATACAAACTCACAATTCTGACTTTTTTTCCAGAGAATTGCGTGATATAAATTGCGAGTTAAAAAAATCATAATTGTGAGATATAAACTCGCAATTCTGATAAATAAAGTCTTAAAAAATTTTATCTCGCAATTGTGATTTCATATCTCGCAATTGATATCACGCAATTCTGAGAATTGTGAGATAAAAAAGTCGTTTTTTTTTTTAATTCAGTGGAGGAAACGGGCTTCCATAAAATACACTCTCAAAAAGCTTAAAAATCTAGAATTTCTGCTATTTTGTAAAGTATGAGGGAAGAAATTGGGGAGCTAATTTCAAAAAGAAAAATTGGAAGAAAGACACAAAGGAGAACTTGACTAATTTTGCTTGAGAATGAAAACTTTTGCATACAATATAAAGAAGTTGGCCATGTATTCAACTGATAAATGATCAGGGTTCTCTTAATAAAAAGCAAGAGTAATTATTTCTGTTGGGCTGAAAATGAAATGTATTCTTAATAAATGTCGATTTTTTTTTTTGTGCATAAATACTTTTTTTTATAATTATTTTGTTTAAAGGGGTGCTATTATGCTTTCTCACTTTTTCAACTTTAGTTAGTCTGTAATGTTGCTGTTTGAGCATAAAAAAGATCTGCAAAATTACAAAGCTCAAAGTCCACTTCAAAAGGAGATATTTTATTAAACAGAAATCACTTTTCAAAAACTACAACGAACGACTCGTTTGGACTACAACGATATCACAAAGATCGACAAATGGGACGAGACCTGGTTGAGCTGCACTAGAGAAGGCAACGAGTGTTATCACTATGTCAGAGACACGCTAGCTTTCCCAAGGCAGACGAACTTAGAGTGGTTACAATCATCCAGGTTTAAATCGCGCTCAAATTGATTTAATTTTGATGTAATATTTACACTGAAGCTCGTAGGCGGCTGTGGTAAGGGGCGTGACATTTCCCGACCAGGCGCCGAGTTGCTGCCAATCACAGCACACACTGGCCCAGCTAACCAATCACAGCACACACTGGTCCAGCTAACCAATCACAGCACACACTGGCCCAGCTATCCAATCACAACACACACTGGCCCAGCTAACCAATCACAGCACACACTGGCCCAGCTATCCAATCACAACACACACTGGCCCAGCTAACCAATCACAACACACACTGGCCCAGATAACCAATCACAGCACACACTGGCCCAGCTAACCAATCACAGCACACACTGGCCCAGCTAACCAATCACAACACACACTGACCCAGATAACCAATCACAACACACACTGGCCCAGATAACCAATCACAACACACACTGGCCCAGATAACCAATCACAGCACACACTGGCCCAGATAACCAATCACAACACACACTGGCCCAGATAACCAATCTCAACACATTTTGTGTTTCAGAAGGCGGGCCTTCATTTGATACAGGAACTATTCGAGCCGTTCATGCCAGGCTGGGGAGAGAGGTGTTGTAATAATGTAAAATATGTGAAAAATAATGTGTTTTTCGAACAACCTAGTATGAGAGCCTGTTCTAGTACACCCCCAAAACAAAATCAAGACTTTGTAAAAGAGCATAATAGGACCCCTTTAATTCAATGCAATAATAAATAGTGGTCAGGGGACGTCACGCGCTCGAGCGTCACGTGGGGCGCCGAGGATCAGCTGATCGGCGTCACTTCCTCATTGAGATTCGCGATGTTTTGACGGAGTCCTGCAAATATCGCCGCTGGATCGACATTCATGTAAATACTGTCGCATTTGAAGGTATTTCATTCTTCTCAGCTGTACGCTTCATCAGATGTGGTTTTACTTCAGGCGCGGGGAGGACCTGGGTTTGATGTTGGGCAGTCATGGCTCATGATAAATGCTTTGATCTGGGTTTGTGGAGTATTATTAGAATATGAGAGTATCGTGAGTAAGAGCAGGTGTATTACAGTCATTATGAGTGGGGGAAGCGCGTGTATTTGTCCCAGAGATTATTTTTCGTTTTTAAAGATCCACGTTTTTTGTGTTTTTAACCTGTAATCCACTTCTAGAAGAACAGTGGTACTATCACGGTACAATGTCAGATGCTAATGTCATATTAACATATGATATGGAAATCTAGCCGATACAGATGGATATTGTAAATATATGTTCTTCTGTGTGTGTTATAAAAGTGTTCACACCGAAGCTCCAATCTGTAATATTTCATCCTCAAAAACGTGACTAGAGAAACATGATCTATCAGTTACTGACTTACAGTTTACTTGTTTCTAAAGCAGATTTCACAAGATTATTAACTTTTTTTAATGAGTGTATAATTTCAGTCATTTATCAATTATTGGCCATAACATTCAAATGATTAGTGCATCACTAAAAAGCACGCCAAAACGGTTCAGTGACCAACTTAGCCACAGAAAAAGTTGAACAAGCCCTAGTTTCTGCTTCTAATATTAATTGATTTAGGCAGATGCAGAAAA